GGAAAGAGTCTTAGAATGTAGTACAACTTCTTGTAACTCCCTGACTTATTTACACACCAGGAGCCTGGCTAGCCAAAATACCTAGTCAAAGCTGTTTTATTCAGTGTAAGGGAGGCAAGTATCACACGGCAGGAGAGGAATTTGCTTTGATAGCGTGAAACATTCCGCAGAGTAAATCTACTTTCTCCCTGTCTTCCGAACACGCATCCAATCTCATAGGCCGGGCTATTTATTTGCACACAGAAGGCATAAAAGTACTCAGAATAAATACAGGATTTGACAACATGACCCAACATTATTTGGCTCCAGACAAAAGTTATGATCCGTGTCCAAGTAGTTAACTTTTCTTACCAGTTACTTTTGTCAAATTAGATATTTGTCATGTGCTCTGTGATTATTTTCAATTTAATTTCTACCCGGCCGGACAACTTCCACCATTGAATTAGAGTATTTATTCCACTTGCCTTTAATTGGGTTTGAGTCTACTCTCTTGTCATTGGCTTTGCTCTTTTTCTTTTCCTTCTTCCCTCCCTCTTTTTCTCCTTCCTTCTTTCTTTCCACCTCCTGTCCCTCCATTCTGCCCTCCTTTCTTCTCTCCATCTTTCCATTTTATACAGCTAAGAGAGAAATTTTCCGTATTTTCTCTCTAACGGTAGCTGTTTTTAAAGCTCTTCTTACTAGATTCACCATCCTATTCATCTTTGCATCTATTCCAATTGGTCAGTTCCTCTTTCGGCTCCGTGTCACAGTTTCTTTTTTCACAATGTGTCAATCTTGATTGCTTGCTGTGTTCCCTGTTAATTACCCAGATTTCATTGTCTTTCTCGATAGATCTTAATAGACCATACTAATATTCAGTGGGCTAACCAACTAATACTGCACAAGGACAGAAAAGCGCCTCCCAAAGCTGCCCTCCTAAGCCACCCAGGAAAAGCTAGAAAACAGCTGTTCCCAAGATGCCCCCAAAGCAAAGCAAGATACTGAAGTTCCTCCAGTTGCCCCAGGTGGCTGGGATGTTTGGCCTAGCCTTGGCATCTTCTGGACTCCACACCTTTGAGGGACTAGGCTCTAGTTTGAAGCTTCTCTGTCCAGCCCAATTTGCCTTTCCCTCGGAATCCAGACTCTCGGTCACAGGAGAAAGTGTCAGACGCCAATCAAATCTCAAGCTTGACTTGCACGGAAGGCTCTGGTTGTCAGCTACCCTGTCAGCTGCTGTTCTCTGTGGGGCTTACACTGTTAAACTCATTCTTAGCATAGGGAACTCTTTTCTCTTAGCCTTACAGCTTTGTGGCTTCGGACACAAGCCTGGACATAAGGTCATTTCTTAAGTTTGGTTTGCATGCCCTGATTCCAAGAGAATCTCATGCTGTACCCTTGTTCAGTGCCAGTGAGATGTGACCAGTGGCTGGCATTATACAGGGGGACCAGGGCTGCCAAGGACAAAAATTAATCATGGAGAAACAATTAGCTTTCAAATGAGTGCTGTGTGATTGGTGCTACTGAGCGTTGAGCTGGGAAAGTCCTCATTGCGCCTTGATATGCACATATGATGCTATTTGCAAAGTCTTGGCACCCTCCTTCCAGCAAGATTGTTTCCTTGGGGAATGGAAACACTATCTTTTCTACCAAAGGGTTGAATGAGATATTTCATTAATAATTGTAAAGAAGCCACTTGGAAGAAATTAAAATTCCTTCAGGGTTAGTGCTTCTTGTAATCAAAATATATGTTCCAATTTTGAAATTACACTGCTCTGTATTATCTAATCATGCAAAAATATGAGGCCAAGCTCCGAGCACTTAGAGTGAGGCACAGGAACCCTTTGAACTGGAGCCAAAACTCAACAGAAGCCCTGCTGTGTGTGCTTGCTTGTTAGGTTAAGCATGGTAACATACTCTGATGAGGAAGTAAAACGCTTTGCCTTGTTGACATAGTTTAGATGTGTGGTGATTTTTTGAGACTCTAGACCCAAATGATCATCTGACTTGTCTTAGTCACTGTTCTATTTAGGTGAAGAGACACGATGACCACAGCAACTATTATGAAAGAAAGCACTCAGTTGAGGACTTGCTTACACTTATAGAGAGGTACTCCGTGATCACTGTGGTGTAAAACAGACATCCATGGCTCTGGAGCAGCATCTGAGAGCTTTATATTCTGATCTTCAGGCAAGAGAGAGAGAGAGAGAGAGAGAGAGAGAGAGAGAGAGCGAGAGAGAGAGAGACTGACTCTAGGCACCCCCAGTGACATGCCTCCTCCAATAAGACCACATCTTCTCCAACAAGGCTACACCTCCCAATTCTCCCAAAACTATTCTAACTGGGAACTAAACATTTAAATATATGAACCTATAGAGACCATTCTCATTCAAATCACTGCACTACCCAAAACAATTTATAGATTCTAGGCCATCCCAACCAAAATTCCCATGATGTCCTTCACATAGAGAAAAATATCCTAAAATTCATATGGGACTATAATAGTCAAAGAAATCCTGAACAAAAAGAACAGTGTTGGAGGAATAACTCTATCATATTTTAAGATATATATTACAGATCTATAGTAATAAAACCAGTATGGTACTGGCACCGCAATAGACATGTAGGTTAATGGGACAAAACAGAGAATGCAAACATGAGTGCACGTAATTATGGCCATCTGATATTTGACAAAGATGCCAAAAACAAACACTAGGAAAACAGGATCATCAACAAATGTTGCTGGGAAAACTGCAGAGCCACATACAGAAGATGAAAGGAGACACATGTATAGCACCTGCACAAATGGACTCAAGTGGACCAAAGACCTGATTGTAAGACCAGAAATGCTGAAACTGCTCAAAGAAAACATAGGCAGTATCTACAAGAGACAGGTGTTGGAAAGGACTTTCCGAATAGGATTCCATTCAACAAATAAAACTCATAGAACTAAAAAGCTTCTGTGTAGCAAAGGAAATGCACTGCTTCCCTTCAGGAATCTGAAAGCTACCAGAGTAACCAGGTGGAGAGCAACCCACATGGATGGAAGAGAAGGAAGTGTGCAGTCAAATCCAGGAAGCTGATAAAGGGACTGAACTGATTGCTGCATGAAGATTGTTTGCAAAAGTACAATCTGCTCTTGTCGGTATAGGACAGATCCAGTGAAATTACCAATTAGCACATCATGACTTAGCTCTTAGTTTGCTTGTGCTCGGGTTGCGGCAAGAATGCTGTTTCCTCCCGTCCAAATGGAGGATAAGAACAGGGTAGATAAATTGCCAAACAAAGTGAGATTGTAGAGGCCAGTCTCTCATAACAGCTGAGGAGACATAAAGGGGCACAAATTTCACCACCAATCACAAATGTGCATAAACTCAAATGCACAGCACGGTAGCTGAGGCCTGGCTTAAATGGGATCATTTTTGTTTCAATAGCGTTTGATTATTCTTGTGATGCTATTATGATGATCATAACTACTGCAATTTGCTATTGTGTAGAAACGGTTTGTCCAAAGAGATGCTGTTCAAAATCAAGAATAACAGAGATGATTTGCTGTGAGCTGCCATTTGGAAGATCAGGAAGCATTCCATTCAGAAAGGAAGGTCAGTGTGTTTGGGAAAGCCTGGCCATTTATGGAAGGAGAATTGTCCATTACTCCTCCCTTTCCTGTTAAAGAACAGTAGAACCTTGGACAGGGTGTTCCCACTCTCTTTGCTATGAAGTTCTGCAGTCAAGCTCTTCCACCAACCAACACGGCAGACGTCTCAGGCTGTGTTCCCTGTGGAGAATGCTCTCCTTCCTTCCCCCGGAAGTCGGATTGGTCAGCTGTTTTGCTTTGAGTTCCTAACAGACCTACTTCGTTAGATGTCTTTCTGGGATCTGCAGGTAGAAATAATTGTGTGATTTCCTCCATAAGATCGAGGGTGGTGTGAACACAGAATAACACTGTGCATAGAAAATAGGACGGTTATTGTGGGGTCACTTGTCACATGGTGTTGATGTAGCCGGATACCAGGTTTCAGAAGGCGCTTGTGGAAGGCTTCCAGGTTTTTCTGTTCCTGGACAAAGAATAGCTCTGAAACAATCTATTAGAGATAGTATATTTCCAGGGATGGGGAACTGGGATGAGCAAAGAGGGAATGCTTATAAGCTCAATAATCCCCCTGTACAAAGAGTTAAGGTTTTAATGTGACTTAACGCAGGTGTTCTTTGGTTCATTTGCATGGCATGGACTTTTGGGTTCATTTGCATAGCATTTGCCATTCTGAGCATGCTCTGTTACATGCAGTTTTGTGTACAACTTTACGAAACACTTGTGTCCTTAGCATTTTAAGTCTCTAGCCAGGGGTGCAACACCTTCACATTATAATGACCCAGAAGTCACTCTAAGCCTCTCTGGAATGCCTCCGTTCTGTGTGAGCAGCACCAGCCTGTTGAAGTCCACCTCAGCTGCCTTCACTGATTTTGTAAGTCTGTGTAAACCTTCCAGATCTCCTTCTGCCTTATTCTCCTGCCTCTGTATTATGAGTACTTGCTTAATTGCTGCCCCTAGAAGACTTTAAATGGTTTCAAAGCAGGTGGTTCGGCTTTCTGGGCTTGACATAATGATGGCTCTTGGAATAGCAAATACTGGCTGACTTTTCTCAGCACAGAAGAAACACCACGGAGCTGTTGCAAAAGAGGAAATGAAATGACAAACAGTGAAGCACCTGATGGTGAGCTTACACATATAAAATTCATAATTCTGACCTAATAATTCATAATTCATAAATTTGACAGAGAGAATGTAGGTAAGGAATCACAAAAAAATCATCCTTATGCCTGCAGCCTGTGTCTTTCTGTCCGGGTCTCCGAGATTCTAAGTCTCCTATCTGCTTATGGGGTAAAGCCCATCTTATTTGAGTAAAAAGGGAGCAGTTGTTGTCATTTAAATAGAACACAGAAGAGAGAGTGATGCTTTGAAATAAAATCTCCCTTTCAAAATGCTTTCTTTCATTCCTAAGCTTTGGTTCTTCTCCACTCACACTTCAAACCGCAGAGGAGCACGGGAACAGTGCAGGACGTCCTTGTAGATGGCCAGGACCTTCTATGTGGTCCTCTTCACCAGGATGCAGGGAATCATGAACTCCTAGGAAGACAAGGGGAAGGGGTTCTTCTCATGAGGGTGTCCAGGGAGAGGACACTGCCTAGTAAAAATAATCAATACACTCTTGACCCCTGCTGATCACCGTGGTTATTCAGCATGCATGGACTTAGCTTCCATCCTACTGTTCACACAGACATCACCAGCTCATTCCTTCAGTGTAGGGAATCAAAGAGCTAGATGACCCCTGTAACATGAGGGCCTGCTTGTTGGGGTTTCTGTCCTGCCCGGTTCCCACACCCAGTAAATCCCAAAGAAAATCACACAGAGGTCTCCATAAGTTATAAACTGATTAACCCATTAGCTTAGGCTTTGTATTATAACTTATATTAGCCCATTATTCTTATCTATGTTAGCCACATGGCTTGGTACCTTTTTTGGTAGGGCAGGTCACATCTTCCTTCTTCAGTGTCTGGACAGGACTGGGGAAATAGCTTCCTTCTTCCCAGAGTACTCCTGTTCTCATTGCCCCGCCTCTACTTCCTGTCTGGTTGTCCCACCTATACTTCTAGCCTGGCTACTGGCCGTTCAGCATTTATTTTAAACATAATTGACAGAATATAGAATTGTCCCACACCAGACCCCAGCATTCCTTCTGACTCCAAAGGTCATGATTTTTAAATAAAGTTGAAACTGGTTCTTCCCACTTCTCCCACTCTACTTGGTGTATAGGCTTAAATCCCCTTTCTTTGTTCTGCATAGTCTGGTTTGGATTGTACTCCTTGTTGAGCATCATGACACAGCTAAGTTCTATGGAATTCTTTGGTAAAGCCACTTTCCTTGTTACACATACTCCTTCTTGGCTGCCTTGTTTCTCAACATTTCTGATAAATTTAAGTCTAAAATGTTTGGGTAAAAATCCTTTCCAGCACTGTATAACCTCTTAGTAGATGCCAGCTAAGCTATTTACCTCTTGATAAGAAGTTAGTGAAAAAAAAACAGCAGGCAGAATATTTATTCTATATTTCCTTTTTGATTTTAGTAATTGGTTTTATAATTGCTAGACCTGTGTTGGCACCTATGAGTAACTACCTGCCATTTAGACGCAAGCCTGGGTTTTAGCAGTTTAATGAATGTTGACAAGTGCTAGGCTTATGTGGCAGGGTTGCGACGTAACAGCTCTGGGGATGCAGTGTGCAATTTCCTAGCTTTTACTACACAATTCTAATAAATTCAATGACGGGTGCCTCTTCAAGAGATGCCAAGAAGCAGGCCTCCCTGATTGCAGACATCGGGAAAAGATGCTGATTATGTTGGCAAGGAAATTACTCACATTTCTATCTCCTCTTTCTTCCCTTCAAGCCCTCCCATATAACCCCTCCTTGGTCTGTGGAATGTTACTTGCATGTATGGTTTCAGGGCTAAGCATCTGGTATTGGGTAACCCATTAGTGTACTATTTCCTGGAGACCATCCCTCTCACTTTCTGTGTTCCTTAGTTGTGTGTAGTTGGTTGTGCGGGGCTGTGGTCTTATGGTCTTCCCCATCCATTTGGCATGTCTGTTGGTGTCTTCCTTATTCAGTTCCTGGTTAAGCAGTCATGTTGGTGAGACTTTATTGGGGGTAACATACTGTCTTCAGGGAGGACAACTACCACAAAAGAAATGGGAATTAATTTGAAGGTCAGGAGGGTTATGGTGATGCATGCCTGTTATTCCCACACTAAGAAGTCTGAAGCAGGAGGATTGTGGCAAGTTGGATGCTAGTCTTGGCTGTACTATGAGAGTTTGTATCCAAAAACTAAACAGATAAATAACAAATTGAAGGGGGAAAAAGATCATTGTCCTGATAGTTCATAATTCATTTATGTGTTTTTTTGGGAATAAAGTCAACTAATATTTATAATGAAATGCAGTCACCTTAAATGTACAGCTTAATGTTTAGTAAACATAGACACTCTTGCATCTACCAACATAAGAAGGACACAGATCAGTTGAACACCACCCGAAAGGCTTACAAGGTACTCTGTGCTGCCTCCCTCACCCCCAGCTGCAGTGAGCACTGCTCTTTGTCACTGAGGATTAGCTTTCACAATGCAGGGATTATAAATTAATGAATAATGCAGCATATTAGTTACTTTCTCATTGCTGCGGCAAAATTCCTGGCCAAGGCAACCATTGAAGGAAGGCTGGTTTTGTCTCATCGGCGGCTGGCAGGGAAAGAAGGCTGGTGGTACTCAGCTTCCTTTCTTCATCTTCTTCAGCCTAGAACCCCAGTCTGTGGCATGATGCTTCCCACAATCAGGGTAGGTTGTCCCTCTCAGTTAATCCTTTCTGGGAGCATTGCTCACAGGCACACCCTCAGGTGTGTTTCTATGGAGATTCAAATCCCATCCAGCTGACAGGATTAGCTGTCACATGTGACCTGTTCAGGCTTTGTGTACTTAGCACACGTGTTTTAATTAAGTTTGTTTATTTGTTTTCTTTATTGAGGAAAGCCTGAGTTTCCAGTAATAGAACAAATATACTTATCAATAAGAAATATTAACAATATCTTTTATGTTTATTTTCTTTGACAGGGTTTCTCTGTATAGCCCTGACTGTCCTGGAACTTGCTCTAGACTAGGCTGGCCTCGAACTCACAGAGATTCTCCTTTCTTTGCCTTCCAAGTGCTGGGATTAAAGGTGTGTCCCACCACTGTCTGACTATTTTTTATTTTTTACTTATTTTTATTCTTCTTTCATATATTACATCCCAACCGAGTTTCTCCTCCCTCACCTCCCCCAGTCTCTTCCCCCAAGTTCCCTTTCCCTCAGATCTACCTCCCTCCCTGCCTCCCCTCAGAAAAAAAAGCAGGCCTTCCAGGGACATCAGTTAAACACAGTCTAACAAGCTACATTAAGACCAGGCACATGCTATCACATCAAGGCGGAATGAGACAACTCAGTAGGAGGAAAAGGGTCCTGCAAGCAGGCAAAAGGGTCAGAGGCAGCCCCTACTGCCACTATCACGTGCCTCACAGGAACATTAAGCTACTCAGTAACATATATGAAGAGGACCTAAGCTAGACCCCTACCGGCTGGCTCCCTGATTTCTGCGAGCGCCTGTGAGTCTGGACCAATTGATTCTGTGGGTCTTGTTCTCATGGTGTTCCTGACCCCTCTGGCTTCTCTGATTCTTTCTCACCCTCCTCCATAGGATTTCTCAAGCTCCACCTAATGTTTGGCTGTGAGACTCTTGCATCCGCTCCCATCAGTTGCTGGATGAAGTCTGTCTAGTCTCTTTAATGACAATTTTGCTAGGCTCCAGTCCCAGAACAGGCAGGATTCTGCAGGCAGGATAAACATGTCAAAGATCTGTGACTGGATTGGTTTCCCAATCCCTCCACTTGAGTCCTTGTCTGGTTACAGAAGATGCCTGGTTCAGATTCTGTAAGTGCACTTTTTTTCTTTGACATACATAGCACTGAAAGCTTCATTTGGTGACTAGAGATGACCTCTGTCACCTCTATTATTAGGCGACTTGATTAGGATTACCTTCACAGAGTTTAGAAAGTTTCCACTGCACTAGGTTTCCATAGCACCCCTCAAATGCTCCCCAATTCCAGCTGTCTTTCTCCACCATCTCCCTTAACCTCCTTTCTACCTTATAGTCCACTAGCAATTCAGTAGTGCTGCATGTTGATCCATAGCCTCATTAACACATGATATTTTGTCTTTTTAAATTTTATTCATTTTGATATACATGTGAAATGAGAGTTCATTTTGATTTTACTTTGCATTTTCTTAGTCATTAATAATCTTGAAACATCTTTTCACGTACTTTTTGGTTATGTCGAGTTTATCCCCAAATACTTGATGGGACTAGAAAGAGTCATTTTTACTCATTGTTTCAAAGGGCTCAGTCAATGGGCTTTTGTCCACATGTGCTTCAACAGGATGTCCTTCTGTAGGAATGTTGGTATCAGAGACTGCTTAGCTCATGGTGGCCCAGAAGGAGGGAGAGAGATGTGTGTGTGTGGGTTCTAGAGACTAGGTATGATCTTTAAAGCCATGCCCAATTGACCCACCTCAGCTAAGCTGTACCTTTAACAGCCTTCCCTGGACCAGCAGCATCAACAACTAGCAAAGGTCTAATACCTAAGCCTCTAGAGGTCATTTCATATCAAACGATTGTGCTGTCCACCCACTGCATCTGTGAAATGTCATCACAGAGATGTGATCACTTTGAACGGTCTGTCTTATCATTTTTGGTCTTTCTTTAAATGTTGTTCTTTGTCAGATGTGTGCAGTGTATAGACTTTTGTCAAGCGCATAGCTTGTGTTTTATCTCAGTGGGACCTTTCAACAAGCAGCAGTTTCATGTTCTCTTTCCCTCCTCACTCCAGGGTGTGTCATGACTGCCAAGCATTTGAGTTTTCTATCATTGATAACCTTAACTCTAGTTGTTTCAAAGTTGACGTGGGAGTCCCCTCTGTGTGCTGTGATTACCATTTATGAATAAAGAAACTGCCTTGGCCGGTTGATAGGGCAGAACTTAGGTAGACAGGGAAGAGTGGACTGAATGCTGGGAGAAGGAAGGGTGGAGAGAGACGCCATGGAGCCACTGCTTCTGGAGACAGACGTGCTGAAACTTTGCTGGTAGGCAACGACCTCGTGGTGATATATAGATTAATAGAGATGGGTGAAATTTATATATAAGAGTTAGCTAATAAGAGGCTAGAGCTAATGGGCCAAGCAGTGTTTTAATTAAGACAGTTTCTGTGTGATTATTTTAGTTCTGGGTGGCCAGGACAAACAAGTGTCTCCTCCTACACAAAGTTGAGTTAATTCTGATTCTCCCTTTCGCTTTGTGACTCCCACCTTTGAATCTTAGCTAAGAAACCACTGCCTCATGCAGTCACGATTCCTCTTTACTGCTTTTCCTTCTGTAAAGGTTTTTAAGTTGTAGCCTTACCATGAAAGTCTCTGATTCATTTCAAGTTAGTTTTAAAATTTTACTTTTCATTTTTAACATGAGACCTGCTTTCTGAACAGACACCAAGATCATGTTGAATGTTGTTGACTATAAGTTGGTCCCATGTTGTACAGTCAATCTCTAAACCATGTTTACCTTGTCCAGTGACACTTGGACCCCCTTGATTAGTAACTCCTTCTTGCCTTTCCAACATCCCTTGGAAACTGCCATTCTATGCTTTGATTCAAAGAATTTGGGTCTTTTAGACACTTCCTATAAATGCAACCACACAAGATTTATCTTCTGTGGCTGTAGCATCCCACTCAACACCATGTCTTCAGGGTTTATCTACGCTGTTGTACACTGAAAAATTCCTTTTAATTTGGAATAATTATATTTGTAAATATATCTACCTCATTTTCTTTAATTTTATTTATCATAGAGAAGGAAACTTGCTTATTGTTGTTTTTTAAACAATCTTAACTTAGAAAATTGAGTTTTATACCTTTATTATTTTTTAA